TTATTGTATATATATATGAAATATTTATAAAATTTTTATGACATTCACATATTAACTCTCCTATTATAGATAATTCAATTCTTTAGATATAATCTAAGGAATGATATTTTGCTTCTTTATTAATTTGAATTAATTTTAAATTAGTAAAATTATTACATATATATATATAATTCTTTTAAAGTCAAACAGGAAGTTTATGAAAATAATCCATTCTAGTCAAATAAAATTTTTTTGTAATATAGTATCAATATAAAAGATATATAGTAATAAATAAATTTATACATTAATAAAAATATAAATTTCTTGATAATTATAAAAACATTACTTGAATTTAAAAATAAATGACAGTTAGAAACAAAAGAAATATTTTAATAGGCATTTCTTTTTAGGAAGAAACTAATAAATATAATAAAGGAATGCAATTTCTTATTCCATATAGCTGATTTCAAATTGACTTATTATAGTAAAAATGCGTATTATTGATTTCTTTTTTTAACTGAAAAACGCCAATCTGAAATTCCTGATTAAGGATGATGATATGTGGACTGGTTCGTGATTTGCAAGTCACTGCATTTGTTTCACATTGTAATTTTTGTTTTGTTTTGCCGTTGATTCCGTGCGGGCTTATTATCACGAGGTGAAATACACATTTATTTGTATAAGTGAAATGGAAGCACTGCGTTTTTGTTTATTTTGTTGAAATTAGAAATTATTACTGATAAAAAAAAAAAAATCATGATTTTATTCCCAAATAATCGAAAATGTCGTCATAATAGGAAAACCTTTAAAAAGTTGTTGCCTAAGTTCATAATGATTTGGGTAGGATTAAATTAAAGAGGAATCATTATAAGAGAGCGTGTGCATTCTTCGTTGGCTATAAGAAAACCATATTTGGAGGATTTTTTACGTTCTAATGAACCGGGATCAAATAATTTGATATCTGAAAGTAACCCACTCATAAATCCGTCAATTCCCTCCAAATAGCTTTTTTGGTCAATCCAACAAAACCTGTGCTAATTAATGATAAATAACCGACCAATTAACTGTAAATCAAGGATAAAATTTTGATGAAAATAAATGAGGTCAACCCAAAGGTCTCTACGAATACAACCGAAAGTACCAAAAATTAAAATTAAGAAAATTACAAAGAAATTGAAAATGATTAATTAAGTTCTATTCTTTTTTTGAAAAAAAAATAACAATAATAAAATAATAATAATAATAATAATAATGATAATAAAATAAAATACAGTAGAATCAAATCCGCGATTTCCAAATTATTAGGAAACACTCTATTACTATTATTATATTACACCTCATTTGCTATCGTTCTATGGTGATCTTCGTTGGCAGAGGTAGAAGAGCTAGATTTATGCGAGCGAATGCTACCCTCGTCCCCTGCAATGCTGCCAGATTTACGTACATGAAACGATGCCAGATACTTCTCCGTCTTGATGAATTTGGGTACCGAATCCGAGGCCAAAAGTCGGAAAATAGTTTCTTCTATCTTGTCGTACAGGTGTCCCGTTATCGTGTTGAACTCAACGTCGTCATCGGTGTTTGGGTTTTTGTTAGCGGTTACAATTGACGTCATGTACTGAATCATGTGTTGTCTCAATCCGTGATCGATGTTAAGTTCGTTGGGAGACGCGGGGGCCAAATAGGTATTGTAAATTCGGAAGGCGTCAGAAACGAGATTTTCTTGTTCCTGAAGGTTTAGGGGCTCACCATTTTCGCTCGTGTTCGTATTGTACCTCATTTTAAATGTTTTAACGTCTAACAAGAACAATAAATTTTCTTCGCAAAAATTGGCTTTCAAAAATTCCATAAAGAGGAGACATAGATTTTGATCATCCATAATCTGTTGAAGTTTTTTGGTGTTGGACTCTTTTGAGGTAAGGTGATTGCTCATATCCTTGTCGCTCATCGAGCTACGTCGTGATTTTTGACGCTTGAGGTGTTTTTCAGGAATGCCCGGCATCTCGGAGTCCGCGGCGGACGAACGACCACCATCACCATCTTCAAAACTTTGCTTCTCTCGGGTCCGTGAGGAATTACCTCTGTTTCTGATGTTATGGTAACTCAGCATCTCTCTTAATCCCATACTCCTTTCATTACCTCCATCCGCGTGGGTGCCGTTTGAATTAGTTTGACCAATAACACCATAATCCCACATGGCGAGCTTAGCTCCGCTCTCCGAAATACGATAATAAGTAGACTTGGAATGTTTGAACGCTGGTGAATCCGATTTGTCGGATTTCCTTCGGGAATCGCTGGATTTATCCAGCAACGGTTCTATCAAACCGTAGCGAACAAACTCGGTTCCCACCTTCACGGCTTCTTCTCTGGTGATCAACGTTGAGAAGTCGCACAGCCAATCAGTGGCAGCCGCGCCGGAAAATGTATAACGAAGCAATCTATGGTTGAGCGAACGATCTTTGAGCCCAATTCCAAGGCTACGATTGAGCTCATTAGACGAGCCCGGAAGTTCGTCAGAGTGGACGTCCTTTTCGACACCGTCGTCCTTGAAGATGACATAGTTCGGTCTCTCACCAGCAAATCTCTGGAATATTGATTCCACGTTTTGCCTATTAAGGACGATAGAATCATTCTCCGAGTTTCTTTCCACATAGTACAATTTGATGGGGATAGATTGCGGAGCAAATAATCTTGACAAGTGCGGAGCCGAGATGCAGTTCCTGGAGACAAAACGTTCCAGTACGTACAGACCTTTCGGTGTTAGACCATAGAAATTTTTGTCCTTGAAGGTTCGACTGCCCGAGTCGGCGAGGTTTTCGAATAGCCTGGCGTCCATAAAAGTTTGACACACACTTTTTGCCATATCTTTCGTCATACTAAAAGTTGTGGTGGTTGTGGTCGTTATTATGCGCGAAGGGTCTTTCGGATCTGGTATTCGGTGTGATTGTGTAAATTTTAAGGAACCCAGATTAGCTATTGCCTCCTCGGTTGTGAATGAGTTGGAATAACTTCGAAATAGATTTCGATGAGTTTCCATAGGTAAAGAAACGACCAGCGTAGAATACAAATCATGGATGTCCTAAGGCAAATTGAGATGGAGATCGATGTCAGCAAAAGTCAAAACATCCTCGAATGCGCTTTAACACGAAACAAGAATTCACTCGTTGGTTCCATTCCCGGAATGGTGATTCTTTCGTCAACTTCCAACCTTTTGAACCGTCGAGACATGGTAACCGGAGGAAGGAAAAAAAAAACCCCCCAAAAGAAAAAAGAAAAACGAACGGACCTTAACAAACGGCCTTCCGGACCTCGTTGTCTTCATCATATGAGTCGAAGACTGTTGTTGGACTTGTGACTGATTTGATGCCATGTTTGTATTATTTCTTTTTCCTATAGCAGGAAGGAAAAATTATGTAGCAAAAGAGTGTGCGGTTGAACTTTTACAGACTAAAAAATTTTGATGAGAAGGTTAATCACCATGAGCATTAAAAAAGAAAATATAAAGGCGATTACTGTGGAACATACAACATACATCATCTACAGTGGCTGCCATTTACAGTTTAATAAAATCCATTAGATATCCGCTGTCCCACATTTGAACCTTTAAATGCATACAACATGTATAATCATGTTTCCGAATTAATACTAAGTCAAGCTTTTAATTAAAGGTTTGTGCGACGGTATCCTCTAATTTTGGTGTTCGTTCTTTTTTTAGTGATTGTAGGAAAACCGTCGTCGGTCGTCGTTGTGTTTCATCCTTTAGATGTTTCATATTTGATGTTAATCTGGACGGGTCCTTGTCTGCACACGACAAAGTTCCAATTCCAATTCCAATTCTAACAAATAAGAATAATAATAATGCGATGAATGATGATAATAAAAAAATTAGGTTACATTGTTGTATTAAACAGGGCCCGTTTTAAATTTTCTGTAAATGCGATGACGAAAAGCCACCGGCCCTTGTGTGCGTGACGTGATTAATTATTTGTTAAACAAATTTGACGTAATCATTCATTCCTCGTGAAATGCGACACCTTTTGGTTGGTTGTATGACACAAATAACATTACTTATAAAAAAAAAAAAAAAGGGTATGTATTTAATGTGTGTCGCACTTCTCTTCTCTCAAAACAAAAAGTCGTAGGCATGTGATGCATAAATGCTGATCGCATGGTTTTGTTTACGAACTCGAGAAAGGAATTCAACTGCGCCACATCATTCGCCGACAGACGAAAACTTTATGCCGAGCACTTACTTGTGATTAATTATTACTTTATCATAAAATCTGTGGATTATTAATTAATTTTCATTAACCTTAAAAAAATTTTTTAAATAGTCTATTTGTGTATGACAGATCATGTAAAGGTCAAGTGTTCGATGACAGGAACATGATTTCATGATGGTGTCAGTAAAACGGGCAAGGATGCTCTCCAAGTCTAACCATGTGGAGGACTTGGAGCGAAGGGAAGTGAGTGAGTGAGCTGTCAAAAGTTTTTTTTTAGGGTTCTTAAAAACGTAAAAGGGAGATGAATTTCTGAAAATTATACTTAATTAAGAATGCCAACCTCTGACTGCATACTGCATACATGTATATTTCGACCCTCACTTTGGCCGGAATTATGCGCCTTCAGCAGGGCAAATTTTGTGTAACCGTTACACGACAATCGATCAATCTATTTCGCAAAACAGATCTCTCCTTTTCTATTTATAAATAATAAATAAACCTCTTCGTCATAGCAGGAAATTAAGAATGCCGAACGAAAGCAACGATCCCTCATCTCTTGGGGAGGAAAGAGATCTTCCCCCCTTTGAGATAATTTCTTCTCGTGAGACGGCACCCCCTTTCGAGACATATCAGGATAACCTGAGTGTCACTTCGATAACTACTGCCACGACACCATTACTATATACTTCTTTTGAAGGTCCTGACGGTACGAATGATAATGACAAATGTGGCGGGGATGACGAAGAAAATTGTTTCTCGGGGAGGAAATCGACAGCCCAAAGCGAAAAAAAATTATGGATTGCGATTTGCATATCATTGTTCTTTTTTTGCGTAGAACTCGTCGGTGGTTGGCTTGCTGGAAGTTTGGCTTTGTTAAGTGACTCATTTCACCTGTTGAGCGGTGAGTTTTATTCGGACTCCCTTATTCTATCTGTACGTAATTTCAAGGAACAACAAAAACAAAAGAAACCAAACAAACGATCAACTTTTTTTTTTTATTGTACCATAGATGTCGTTAGCTTTGCCATCTCTCTCTTGTCTATATACCTTGCGCGTCGACCTAAATCAAAATGTAGGTGATATTCACGTGAATTTCTCGCAATTTATCGGATGGTTGGGTAAATGTTCGCGATATCTTGCCGATTAAATTTAGCTCTGTCGTATGGGTATCATCGTGCCGAAATTTTGGGTGCACTTTTATCAATCATAATTATATGGCTTCTCACCGCTTACTTGTGCTATGAGGCATCTGAGCGAATAAACAATCCTGAACTACGCGTTGATGGAAAAACGATGTGCATCACTGCTAGTATCGGGGTTGCCGTTAACTTTTTGTACGTCATCCTTTAACAATCTTCACGCAACCTTGAGAAAAATGCTCATCTATTGATTTTTTATTCTTCAGATTGATCGCTGTATTAGGACACCATCATGGACACGGCGAACACGATGGCGATCACGGTCACGGGGAAAATGTTAATGTCCGTGCTGCTTTACTTCATGTCTTGGGAGATCTTCTATCATCAATTGGAGTCTTGATTTCTTCGGTAATTATAATGTGCGATCCGAACATGGCATGGGTTGACCCATTATGTACATTCATCTTTTCGGCGTTTGTGATGGCAACCACTTTTGGAATTTTGCGTAGCGGCATAAGAGTCTTAATGGAAGGTTGGATATTTCATCATTTCATAGTAGATAACCATAATAATTATTTGGTATTACGAATATCATCATGATCATTATTCGCCCCCTTTAAAAGCGACCCCATCTCACATCGATTCACATGCTGTCGAAATGGACCTAAGGGAAATCGAAGGTGTCGAGAGTGTACATGATCTGCACAGTAAGTCCTTGCAAGGTCGGATTGCTAATGCGGACATATTCTATTCTATTGTGAATTAAAAATTTTTTTTTTTTTCCCTTAGTTTGGGATCTGACCATTGGAAGGGTAAGTTGCACGTCGAACCTTCAATGTTCTAAGGCAATTGATCTAATTAAAACGTCAATTTTTTGCGATATAATTTCAGACTCGTCTCACAGCTCATCTTCGACTTCACGAGTACAACCCGGATATTCGAGCCGAACCATACGTAGCAGCAAAGATTCTAAGTCAGGCGAGAGAGATGCTTAAAAACAAATATCGAATTTCATATGTAACGATTCAAATTGAGTCGTGAGTCGTTGCCCATGAAAGTTCGAATTTAATTTAATAGATGAACATTGTCTCTTTTCCTGATGTAAAGAGATGAAGCGCGTGACCAACGTTCGGGGAAAACGATTACCACCGCGTGCATATAGTAAATTAGGGTACGAATGAACGAATGTATTGATGATCAGGCAACACTTTTTCTTTTTTGTGTGTGTGTGCAATAACTGTATCATTGTTTGCTGCTCCCACCTTTACCCTTAAACCCTATTAGATAATGCCATTTAATTTCAATTTCTGTACTATATAATAAACGTACTGTACCTTTTTTTTTTTTTCTATTCTATTCTCCTTATGTCCAACTATTTCGCACTGTAACCAAGAATTTAGATGAGAAATTCGTTCTCGGAGTTAGCTAAATTGTTTTTTAACGACCTCGCCCACAATTCCTAAAAATTTTTCGATGGCCTGGGGGGTGATCTGGTAGTGAACTACCAAGCGAGCGGTATTCTTACCATCACCGCTTATCCGAACACCGTGAGATGCTAGATGTTTAGCCAGGGTGTCAATAGTAATATTTATGACGGTGGTGTCGATGAACACCATGTTTGTGTGGACCGGTTGAGAGATGAGGATGCCATGCTCACCAAGCCCTGTGGCGAGTTTGCGTGCCAACACGTGAGATTCTTTTTGCTTATGAGGGTAGTTTAACTCGATCGCCAATTTTGCGGCGGAGGCCAATAACCCGGACTGGCGCCAACTTACGTTTAATAATTGACAAGAATACCAACAATAAATAAATAAATTTACAAGTATATATGTGATATAACGTGGAAAAAAAAATAAAATGAAATGAAATGGAATCACCAACCCGCCGCCAAATAATTTTCTCAAATGTCTAGCTTTGTTGATGAACTCCTCGTTTCCCACCAGCACAGATCCGATGGGTGCCCCGATACCTTTTGAGCAGCACAAAGTCATCGAATCAAAGAATTGACCGTACGCGCTCAACTCGATTCCCGTTTCTGCCGAAGCGTTCCAAATCCTTGCACCGTCCAGATGCATCTTAATTCCCTTCTTCCTCGCCAATCCCGAGATGTTTCTAATTTCGCTGAGTGGCATTATCAATCCATTTAACGTGTTCTCCAGTGAAATCACGCGAGTGGGTGCATAATGAATGTCATCAGTGGAAATAATGTTCGATGAGACTTCGTCGAATGTGAGGTGGATCTTATTGATCGGACTGAGGGGGATCACTTGGGCCTGGGAGTGGTAGGCTATGCCACCAGCTTCAAACGCGTAGATGTGAGAACGATTGTCGCACAACACTGAATGAGGAGGTTGGGAGAGGTGACAACGAATCGCTATTTGATTCGACTTGCATTTAGAGTGGTTGAGTTAATTTTCGTTGTTCATCGATATAATGATCAAATATTTAAAGAAAGAACGTCACGTTCTACCATCGTCCCGGATACTGTGAACAAGGCCGACTTGTGTCCCGTCAAGCGTGCGACATAAGCTTCCAGCTCATTCGTAGAATGATCCTCCTGTATTCATTATTATTATTATTATTTTTTATTTGAAGGTGCAACTAATAGAATTAATGTTTCGATTTTTAGCTGCGGTCACTGCGCATGGTTAATTAATA